CATCCTTCATTCCCTTTTAGAAGGCATGGCATATTGATCTTGATGACCCTAAGAGGAGTTAGCAGGGGGTGTACGGAATGGGTCTAGCAGGTTTCGATCCAGTTTACTTACTCAACACGGGCCTTATACATTTGTGTTGAGTGTATGTGTGTGTTTGTTTCGTTTCCATGGTTTCTATTAAAATAAACAGTCATAACATATTAGCCCAGGATCCGTAAGTAGGGTCGACCTTCACCCATCGTCCCTATACATGATTTCCCTAAAATGGACCTAATTCGAGATATTTGAGGAAAAATGAAAATTTGGAATTTTAAAGACAACTCAAAAACGGATAAGGAGAAAAACACCAAATTTTTAATTTAAGCTTTAATCTAGCCTGCGGTGAGCTGATTAAAGTTTGGGCATAGTCGAAGCATCTGGGAAAGACTTTACAGGGTGTCGTATTTATTATTTTAAGAAAATAAATAGTCTGGACCGTATTTTCTTAGGCAACCCTTTTACAGTATATTTTTAAACATATTTTATTTAATAAAAAGCAACTGCTATATCGATACCTTTTTGCCAGACTAACGTAAACGACATTTGTTCAATTGGTACTTATGACAGTCTGGCAAAAAGGTATCGATATACTCTATACTTTATAAAATATTTGTTACATTAGTTTTTAAATATATTATGAATATATAACAACTGTTACTTTCTTTGTAATTTGTCACAAAATGATGCGAGGTACTTTCTAAACGGAGCAATTGTAGTTTGTTTTTCTGTACCTTACAAAAATATAATTTATAGAAAAAGAAATTGGTGTATTATTTTTCCAAGTTTAAATATTTAATAATCAATAAAATTTTTAAGTTTTTTTTTAGCGAAATTTACAAGAGTAATAAAAACTATGTTCACTGCTTATATTAAACTGATTAAAACTTCCTTTATTAAAATTATTATTTATATGATAAAAAATTTGATGTTATTGGAAACTTTTATATATTTTAATATACAGTAAAACAATAGTTTTTGTTTCTCCTGTAAATTTGTATAGAAAAATTATTTATTTCTGAATCCATGTTTGAATTTCCCGCCCTAAAGCATTTTTAATTTTCCCGCTATTTACTAGTGGCGCCATCATAGACTGGTTGTGGTTACAATCGCCCAAATAACTTTTACCGAACAAAAAAAAATACATTGAGTTACACGTCTCGCTGGATTGTCTCTGGTTGTACTGTTGAATTGTAATAATTGAAGTGTTAATAAACTGAGTTTACCGAAAACCAGCGTAACACTATATGAGTTCTTAAGGAAGAGCAGCTAGCTGATTTTGCCCCCTTAATCAATGTTTGCCTTTTTCTTATTTTCTTGTATATATATAAAAATGTTTCATTTTATTTAACTTGTATTTTGTTGATTAATAAAGACATTTATTATTATTATAAAATCATCGGGTTTTTTATCAGTTTACTTTTACCCAATGAGAATTTGTCTCAATTACTATTCGAAAGCATTTTATTAGTATTAATTAAGCTTATGTCCTATCACCAAAAACTTCATTGATCCCTTATTATCTATTGTGGGTATGAATTAATATATTTAACTGCTCTGTTACTAAACTATAATTTAATTTACAGGCTTAAATATGGCTTCATAGTCGAAAATGGCTTTATAGCTGAAACCGGTCGCCGAATATATTATTAAAGATTTATATGTGGTATATATTTCGATTCACGGAAACATTTAATGTTAATTAAGTTCCGCAATAAATATTTAATGATCTCATCCAATTTATTCTTATTTATTATTTTAGCAGACATACATTGTATTCTAAAAGTAGGTACCTACTCTATATAAAGTGACTCTATTGAATTAAGATTATTTAATATATTTTTCTTTAGTGAATGTGGTATCTACATGTATTATTGTTATATTTTGACTCGCTATTTATTAATAAATAAACATATACCTTAAAAAAACAAACAAATGCAATTTTTCAATCAATGGAAAAAATAAACTTAATTAAATTAAACATAACATTTTAGTAAATAAAGGCATCTGTTAGAACTCATTTCACATGTTGAAATTAAGTCACTCCACACCCTGTTGTAAGGATTTTATTAGGTAGATGGCCATGATTACGTGTATATCTATTTGGCGGAATTCCTAAATTTCTAAACCAGTGTTTTTTTTAATATATTAAAATGGACGAATTCTCTACAATACTATTGTGCGTGTGCAAGGTTGGATTTGTGACCAGGGACTTTCTCCATTAGCCGATTAGATACTAAAAGATTTTATCACGCTGAAAATACCTATTTACGTAGATTTGTTCCTGTTTGTGATATTTTTTTGTATTGCAGTAAAGAAAAATAAAATAAACAAATGTAAGAATGATTTTATTTTCTATACAATATTATTAAGTTTTATTTTACGAAACACCCGGTTCTTCTTAAACGCACGAAATATTTGTCTTCCAAAATAGCTACAGACTATGTTTACATTAACACCATTAAGATGTGGAGATATCGGATTAAGAATATGGGAACTAAGGGTAAAATATCGAAACAGGCATAAAATACAGATCATTCTGAATTTGAGTTAGTTACTTTACGGAACAAAATTAAAGTTCGTTCCAATAATAATAATAAAGAAAAAAAACTGGTGAATATTAATTTTTGTGAGTGGCTGTTTGCTGAACAGGGTGAGTTTTTCTCACTGAGTAATTATGTTTTATCAATTAGTTTTGTTTTAATTTGTAATCAAGTTATTTTGCAAATTATATTACCCAATTATTATCCATTAACCTTTTATAGTTAATTTGTCAATTCTGACGTAAAGATATTTGGTCAAGTATTGAGAAAACCTTATATCCTAAATTAACGGGGTTATATTAAATAATTAAAACTTATTTGAATTTGACTATTTACTTATATTTTGTTTTCCTCTACGAGGTGTAATCAAAAGTAAAGTGAGTTAGATTGTCTGTTCTGGCGTAGTACATTGCGGTCAGTGTTTGCGTTTATTTAGGGATTATTCCCGGAGTTGTCGCACCATGGTTGGTGCGGGCTAGTGGCATTGCGGTCAGTGTTCTAGTAATGGCTTTTTATATATCGATCGATGTTTGGGCATTGCGGTCAGTGCCGACAGAATTGAGAATATAACTTTTTGTCAATTATGGAAAATTTGAAGTTGTGTCAATTATATTTTTTTTTATAATCAATATTTTGACATATTTATCATGTATAATTTTCTTGTTAATTAAAAGGATAATAAGTATTTTATTTATGGATATCACCTTTTCATGACTTTCTTTAATATAAAGCTACCTTTGGTAAACTTGATTGCTCATACTTGTTTTTCTTTTATTTCAGGTACGCCATCTCATAAGGGCATTAATTACATCTCATACGTGCATTAAGTATTTTATCTATTTTATTTTAATATTATTTTATTTGCATTTTATTTTTTTTTCATTTAATACTTATTTCTAAATAATTTTATTTTGTTCTATATTTTATATTTCAATTTAAAGTTATTAAATCGTTTATTGAATTAATTTCTAGTTTTTCCTGACATAGATAAAATAACTAAATATTACCGCCCAAATTTATAATAGATATTTTTAAATTACAAATATCGTCCTATACAAACTGTTATATAAAAGAATGAAGATATATTTTCGATTATATTTCAAAAACACAGTCTACACGCAGTGTCGGACTGGCCCGGTCGGCAAGTCGGCATTTGCCGACGGTGCCAAACCCTTTTGGGGGCGTCAACGGTCAACGTTCAAGCACTAGAGATAAATCAAACCACCATCATAAAAATGTTTATAATAATTCAACGAAATCTAGGAAATCAGGCAACATTGGTGCGTCTGAACGTAGTCTAAGCCGTCTAGGCTGCTGAGACAATTTGTTTAATACCAAGCGCAAGTTATCTTAGTCCTGTGCATTCTACGTTAGGTAACTGTTTAATTTGTTAATTCCTAACTGTTGCGAAAGCGAGACGAGGCGCGATGCCTGCATGTTCTTATTGTTCTATCTTGTTTTCTTCTGTGTGTTTGGACTGTTTGGACAAAGTAAGAAATTAGGAGGCCTATTGAAATCGATGTGTATTAAATAAAAGTTAAAAGTAAGCATGTTTAGTAAGCTGATAGTAATAGTAAATTATTGACAAAAAATAATTACACAAAATTTTAATATACATTCGTAAATTATATTATTTGTTACTGAGATACGCCCCATTAAAATATACCGTGTTACTCTTAAGTAAAAAAGTATGTTTTTGAATCATACAAGATTCCTTTTCATTTTAATTCAGGCTTAATCATTAACAATTTATTTTCATTGATATATTTATTTAAAATAATAGAAATACTTATTTCTTAGATGGCTGAGGCTGATGTGTGAAGCAATACCAAAAAGAGAGTCTCCTTAATGAAACAGAAAATCGAGAAGAAAGACATAAAAAAATACTTTTACAAGCGGAAAAAAAGCGCAAATACTCCTCTAAATTTCGAAGAAGACATTAGTACTTTGGAAAGAAATAGCAATGACTCACCTGTTAAAAATAGTGAAAATGCACCTTCTTTCTCCCAACAAACTTAAATTGACGATTATGAAAGTGAAGAAAAATGCAGTGAAGAAAATTTTAAAAATAAAGAACCTCTTGAAAAACTGAAGTTCAGGAAGAACCAAGACCAAGACAAAATATTAATTTCCCCATCTGCAGAATCTAGTATGGAAACCAAATTATTATTTTTGGCATCTCATCCAGTTCAGCCTAGTTCTAATAAATTTAAGGCAGAACAAGTATACTATCGAATTCTATCTAATAAAGATAAAATTCGTCGAAATTGGTTATATCTTTCCGTTCAGTTAGACAAATTCTTTTGTTCCTTGTGTATGGCGTTTAACTCAAAAACGTCAACATTTATTACAGGCTATAATGACTTTCGGCATATATATATATATCAATCCGTCAAAATTCATGAATCATAGCAATATCACATGCAAGAAGTGGATACATATTTAACTATAAAGCGGGGTAAAAACATTGAAAATTTTATAAACAAAGATATGCAGGATAAAAAGAAAGAAGAAATAACAAGAAATAGGCTTTGCTTACTAAGAATAATTGATCTAATTTGTTTCATTGCGAAACACGGAATTGCTTGTAAGGGGAAAAATGAGAATGAATATAATCTAACAGATGATGATACAAAAGGAAAAGGAAACTTCCTGGAGCTAGTTTTACTATTGGCAAAATATGACGATATATTAAAACATCATGTGGATATGGCAGCTAAGGACGTATTGTCAAGAAAAGAAAAGTATAAAGACAGCTGTGGCCGAGGTAATTTAATTACAATTTTAAGCAAAATAACGGTAAACAAAATAATAACTATAATCGGAAATGAAATTAAAATAAGAGTATTAAACGAAGTTAAAGAAGCTGGAAATTATAGTGTTCAAATTGATTCAACCCAGTATATTAGCGTGGTTTAACAATGTTCAATTATAGTTCGTTATATAGATAGTGAGGGTAAAGTAAAAGAAAGGTTGTTAGATATTATTCCAGTGGAGATAAGACCAAATTAATTAATGTTTTAAATAACTTATACCTCGACGAGATTGGATGTAGCTTCGACGGCGCAGCTAATATGTCAGGTCAGTACAATGAACTCCAAGCCCATATTAAGGACTTTTCACCAAAATCTCTGTTTACATGATGCTATGCACATATACTTAATTTTGTGATAGCACTCAATGTAATCAAAAAATTAAATCTTACTTTGGGTTGTTAAATCGAGTAGCATGTTTATTTCGGACTCATATAAAAGAGTCAATTTATCGGAACCGTTAAAATCTATTCACACCCATCTTAAAAGATTTCAAAAAATTGGAGAAACTAGATGGTGGGCAAAGAGAAATAGTAAGGCTGTTTCTAATTTATTTTGCACATTTGACGACCATTGTAAAGAAATTTATTCTACGTTTATACTTGTTTTATTAGAAATGGCTGAAATGTGAAACTCTTTTAATATCATTTATCATGATAAAAATGTTTGAATACGGACTCCTGCTTCAAATTATCTTCAGACAGAGGGTATTGCTTTTACCCAAGCATACCATTTGGTAAGTGTACCTGTTTATTTTAATTATTTATGTCTGTTGACAACGTTATATTTTGTGATAGAAATTTTTAGTCAGATTTAGTCAAATAGTACTTGCTTATTTGCACTCCTATTTTTGACTATGTAATATTAATTTTCTTATTTGTTGTTGTTTATGGAAGTCAGTTTTTTTTTTAATGTTAATTTGTGATTTTTTACTATTTTTACTTTTATTTATTTTGGTGTTTATATCTTAAAATTTTTCTTTTTGTTTATTAAAAAAATTAAAAATGTTTTATATAAGAAATAACCTTTGTTTTTTATTTATTACCTACACAGTATTTATATTATGTTTTAAACGCATAATTTTATAGTTTCTTTAGATTATTTGAAACGGCCGCAAAGTACTTGAAATTTTCGTGATTTTGGACTATCTACTATTTTAACACTACTTTTTAATATATAAATTCTAAAAATGTTTGTCTTAAATGTGATTAATTACCTTTATGGGAATAATCGAGTTGGTCAAAAAGAGTAGGATGGGGGACCAATTACACGCCAGCTTTTTTAACAGACTTCAAAAGAGAAGGAGGTTCTCAATTCGCCGGAATATTTTTTTTGTGTATGTTCAGCGATAATTCTTTATTACGTTGCGTTGTCTGATTTATATGATTATTTTTTTATTAGAAAGAGGGTCCCATATAAATTTGGTCAAGAACTAACAAGGGGTCCACGAGAAAATTATCAATCTCTTCATTTTTTATGTAGTTTTAGCGATAATTCTTCACCACGTTGCCCGATTTCAATGATTCTCTTTTTGTTATAATGAAAATACCTCAGGGGTAATTACCTATACAATCTGATGATCTAAGATAAAATAAAAAAGTCTCTATTTTTAAGGGCATCTGCACGATTGTGAAGTCGTTTTTTTAAAAGGTGGGTATCATATACGAACCTACCGGTTTGCGAAGGGTTTGCGAGCCATTCGCGAATTCTTTGTAGAAAAAAAGGTACGTATACATATCTCTCATTTACTGCAAAAATAGCCATTTTTCAGATTAATTTCAAAAAAATAATAACTTGCTATTTACTATTTGCATCGAGATAGAATAAAGTAGAGACGACATAAACACTGGACGCACTTCGAGTGACGGAAAAGTGTAATGAAAATCGTGACTTAAGTCAATTATTTTATGTTTGAAGACTGACGGGATGAAAATGATTTTATATTATTTAAATAAAGCTTTTTAACAAACATTGCATTTATTTTCACCAAAACTGACTAGCTTTACTATCTCGAGTTTGACATATTCAATTGAATCGAGCACGTCGAGCACAAGCCGGTGTTAAAGTCTGTGGTTAAAATAATAATAACAAAGTGGAAAATATATTAAAATACATCAAAACTGTGCAATGTGAAAAATAAATTGTTTAATATAAATTGCAAGTGAAAAGTGACAAAGAAAATAGGATAAAAACGAATTAGAAGCCTAGTTTTATCGCAAATCGCATATCCAACACGAACGAAAGCGAGTTTTTTTACTAAAAACAATTTAAATATATGAGGACAGTTTGATAAATTTTTGGCTCCTAAATTAAATAAATGTGAATATGGCTGAAAAAGGGGAAAACTTTGAAGAATTTACAACGAAAAAGCTTTATGAGTTACTAACAAAAACCAAGAACAACAAACAGCTAAAATCACGCAAGAAATCCAAAATATTAACTTAAATATAAATTCAAAAGAGTAAGAAAACTAGAAAATCAAAATTTACAAATAGAAAGACGTATAAGAAAAAATAATATCATAATATTTGGAATACAAACAGAAGAAAGTAATTTACTTAAAGATACAAATCAACAATTAAACGACTATCTTCTGATAAATCTTATAGAAGCAGACATAAATAACATATTCACCGTAGGTAAAGAGGAAAAAAAGAGAGGTATTCAAGTAGAATTTGTAAGATACATTTCGAAGCAACTTATCTTCAAAAATATATCAAAACTAAAGGGGAAAAAGATTACGATTCTTAACGATCTTTGCTTGCATGACAGAGAAACGCAAAAAAGTCTATTTAACTTGATGAAAGAAGCAAGAAAAGAAAAAAACAAGCAAGAATTCGAGGACAATTTCTAGAGATAGAAGGTGAATTATTGTCGCTGAAAGAACTTGAAACCCGATACAACACGGAAGAAAATAAAGAGTCGGAGGAGGAAGAAGATAGTGAAAAAGAAGACGAAGACATTGAAAAGGACATTAAAAAGCGTAAAAAAAGTCACGACTCTCCACAAATAGCAGGAGATTTAAAAAAGTCTAAAAATAATTACGTCACAAAGACAAAGTAGAAATAAATAGAAGGAAAAAAAAATCAGAAAAATAGTGGATAGTGAGTAAGACATATTTTGTAATATTCCACAGGAATATACTGAGCAAACCTCATATAATTGATGATTGTGGGTAAGCGTTGATTTTCATTCTTCAATAAATATAATGGATGACTATATAAGAAATATTCAAGCGCCTGAATTAATAACCAAAGAACTAAATAATGCAGCGCAATATAATGTACTTCAAAACGTAAACAATTTCTCAGTCTTTCATGCAAATATTCGGAGTGCGTCAAAAAATTTTGATGAATTTTTTATTCTCTTAAATAATTTTAATTACACTTTTGATGTAATAATTTTTACTGAAACCTGGAGAATTGATGACGAAAATTTTTTTAATATCCAGGGATATAAATTGCATTACAATAATGGAGATGTGAATCAAAATGATGGGGTAATGTTATTTATAAAAAATGTTTACAATGGGGCTTTTACTTGTAAAACTAAAAATATTGGTATTGCGGTACAAGTCCTAAGGAGTTTAATATTAATTTAAGTGATTACATGAGATAAAATATTCCTAAAACAAATGATGTGACATATATAGTAGGTGATATAAACATAGACATAAATTCAAATAAAGACTATTGTCAAGATTATATAGATATATTAAGTTTTAATGGTTACAAATCACTAATTAATACATTCACAAAAATAAAAAATGGTTCTAAAACTATTTTAGATCACATTTTTGTAAACTGTCCTGAAAATAAATTTAAACATCAAGGTTTCACTGTTAGGGTTGACATTTCAGACCATTTTCCAACTATATCAACAATCAATATTAAAACTCCCTAAGTCTGAACAAACCTAAAAACATAAAAATATATAAATTGGATGAAAAAAAATTAAAAGATCTTTTAAAAACAGAAACATGGGAAAATATTTATAATAGTGAAGACGTAAACCAAATGACAAATTCATTTGTAGAGAAAATAAAACACTCTTTGTTGAAATCCACGGAAATAATAGAAATTAGGAGACAATATAAAAAAGACACACTTGGATTACACAAGGTTTAAATAAATCTATACATAATAAACAAGAATTATATAAACAACACTTAAAGTATCCTCAAAATACTAATATAAAAAATGAATATATGTCATATAAAAAACGGGTTGAAAAACTGATTAAAATTACAAAAAATAATTACTTTAAAGAAATGGTAAATGAAAACCATCAAAATAAAACAATATGGGAAACTACTAATTAAATTCTTAATATAAATAAGGAAAAATGGATATAAAGGAAATTATCACAAATGATAATAAAAAAATAACAAATAAAAATGATATAGCTAATTATTTTAACGACTATTTCTCTTCAATAGGAGAAGAAATGGCACGTAAAATAAATAAACCTAATACTCTTACTATAAAACGAAATATAACTGAACATAACATATTTTTCCACCCTACTGACTCAAATGAAATAGAAGCCATTATAAACGAACTCAAAATGAAAAAATCACCTGGCGATGACAATATCACTGCTAAAAATCTTAAATTAACAGTAAACTACATTAAGCATCCACTTTGCTACATTGTAAATAAAATGTTTGAGAAAGGCGATTTCCCGGATATATTAAAAATCGGAATTGTAAAACCGTTGTTAAAAAAAGGCGATCCAAAGTATTCAGAAAATTACAGACCCATATCTCTTGTCTCAAATATTACGAAAGTTGTTGAAAAAATAATTAAAAAAAGAATAGTAAATTACTTAGAAAAACACATGTTGCTATCGGAGAAGCAGTTCGGTTTTAGACAAGGGATATCGACAGATGATGCAATAGTGTATCTGACTAACAAAGCTATTGATGATAATAAAGCTACAATATGCATATTTCTCGACCTAGCAAAGGCCTTCGACACAGTGAGCCATAATAAGCTGCTAGGTGTGCTCGAGGAACTTGGTATTAGAGGGGTTGCATTAGATCTAATAAAAAATTACCTTAATAAAAGAATACAATATGTGGAAATCGGTGACTCACGAAGCACCTCAAAGGTAATTAAATTTGGAGTTCCGCAGGGTACTATATTGGGACCTATACTTTTTACAGCATATATAAACGGTCTATTACAAATAAACTCAATTGGAAGCATTTCCTCTTTCGCTGATGATACCATTATACAGTATACAGCTAATACCTGGAAAGAATTAAGAGTTAATTTAGAAAATGATATAAAAAATATTAAACTTTGGTTCGATGAAATGTCCTTAACAATTAATATAAATAAAACAAAATATATCCTGTCGCAATAATAACAGACCACAATATAGTTTTTTACATATAGGATCAAATCTTCAAATAGCAGAGGTAAAAACAATTAAATATTTGGGCATTGAAATAACAACTTAAACTGGAAAACTCATGTCAAACAACTATTAAAAAAATTACGATATATTTTATTTAAATTTAAAAAATTAGCAGCTATTCTCAACAATAAAAATCTCAAAACGATTTACTATTCCTTAGTTGAATCGCTTATTCAATATGGAATAACGGCATGGGGAGGAATATATAAAACAAACTTAAAAAGGCTAGTAATTATTCAAAAAACTTTTCTTAAAATAATGAGTAATAAAAAACGAACTTACCCAACTGAGGCCTTATTTCAAGAGACAGGTATTTTCGACATTCGACAACTGCAATGTTACACTACAACTACATCCTACAATAAAAAATAAAAACTCCTTACAAATGATAAAACATTCATATAATACACGATATAAAAACAAAGCCTCTATAGCGACAATGAAAGCGAATAAAAAACTAGGACAACGGTCGTTTAGTTATATATCACCTCGACTATACATGTTATTACCTGATAATATAAGAGAAATTAAGAAAATACACCTTTTTAAAAATAAAGTAAAGAAATTTATGAGTACACTGCCCAAATCAGAAATTATAAAAATAATTGAAAATTAAAAAATATATATCAAAAAATTTATTAAATTACCTTATTTTATGTCTTACTCACCTTCTTAACTAGCACTGGGAAATTAAAAAAAAACGAATATAAAAAAAATTAAAAAGCTATGTAAAAAAAAGATATTTAATACCATGTTAAAAATATATATATAAAACAAATATTTTAAAAAAATTGTTAAAAAAAAATTGTTAAAAAAAATTGTTAAAAAATGGTTAAAAAAAAACTACCTACTCACTAAATAAACAGGGATTACGTATATTACCTTTCTTTCATATGTACTTTTTTTTCTGTTTTCTCTGTTAGTTTAAGTTGTCTATAAAGAATTTTTGATTTTTTTTTTTTTTTAATTAGGGCTTAAGCATAAAATATTACAAATGTTAAAAATAGTTCCGTAAAGTAAACGCAAAACTCACGCACAAATCTCTCCTTGAGATTTCAGTGGGTGCTCAGTTTATTTTTTGCAACCATTTAAATTTACTATTGTAAATCTGTTCTTATATTTATATTTTTTTGTGGAAAATAAATTATATATTATATGACATACAAGTACAATACAAAGGTGCGAACACTTTTGCATCGTCATAGCATCTCTTTATTCTATCCTAATGACTATTTTCCTGTAGACCAAGTATGTTAAACTCGCGGGCCGCTTGCGGCCCGGTGCCAATTTTGCGACCCGGCGGCATATTCGTATACTGCCGACACGTTAGGCCCTCGGAACAGTTCGATGCCGCGAATGACAAACTCCTAAAATCCCGACGTGTTAGAACTAATACGTCGGCGATTTACTGGACACTGGATATCAATCTGCACTCATTAAAGATAGGGACAATTTTAGTTTCCCTTTTCTATTGTCTATATATGCAAGTCTCATCAAATTATTTTTAATTTATTATTCGTGACATAATAGGTGATTTTAAATAAATAAAATTTGTACCTAATACATTCAAAATGAATTTAAAGATAATACCTAATACCCCCTATAAAGAGACATCAGAAAATACAATTAGGTTACAAATAAGCGATAAAAATTAATTTGAGGTAAGTTTTTTTAGGTTATAAATCATTAATAGTTTGGCGGCATTTTACAGAATTCTTATGAATCTGCATTGTCACTGTTAGCTAGAGTTTACAATTAACGTTTATAAATGTTTTGAAATTCTCGTCGAGAGTTCCATTTAATTTTTTTTTTTTTTTAATTAAGAGAGTATGTTCTAAAAATAATAAAAATAACATAGACTCTTGTTGATGAAAGTAACAATTAATTAACCTATTTATTTAAAATAAAAGTAAAAATAAAAAAAGCACGTATGGTAACACAAAACACTATATGTACTCATTTTCTAGCAGTATAATATTGTTATAATATTATTATCATGTGAGGAAATGAAATTATACGTCACATTATGTAGATTTCACATTAGTTCTTATCCAAAAAGTGTAAAATTGTAGTTTTGTCATACAGTCGTACAAAATAAAACATATATTGTTCAAAGAAATAAGCTTGCTATTACACGTTTATCAAATTAAAATGACAGCTATCTTTTATATAATTATTCAAATATACGACATTGCAGAGCATATGATTTTATTAAAACAATTAAGGAATGACTACTTTGTATTATGAGGAAAGGAAATTAAATTAGAAACCTAAATGTCACACAATGTACTTTATTTCGTAATAAAAAAATAAGAAAATTTGGTTTTTTATTGTAGCCAAAGAAAAACATTATTTATTGTCATTTTAATAGATATCTACCGAAACGGAAAAGGGTAATTTTTTTATTTGTCCGATTTAGAACTTAAAATGAACTAGGAGGTTAGTTTGAGCGAGTTAAATATGAAATTAGGAAAAAAAAATGATTCTATCGTGTTGGGTGTCAAATTAAAGCTCGTTAAAATACAATTTCAAAAATGTATAATGAGTTCGTGTTGTTTTTTCTTCGACACTTTTTCGAAAAAAACAAAAATAATAATAATAAAAAATATGAATTGCTGTCCTCCCAACTTATCTTCAAA